GTGCATCTCCATAGCCCAGCTTTCCAGATGTATTAAACCTGCCAACTAAGTGAACCAAGTGCCATATTGCAGCTTCAGACATATCCTGTTAGAAAAGGTGACTAGGTCAAAAATCAGGGGAACCCACTCCATCACAAGTTGTTAGGGGGGAATTAGCTTGAAAACAGGGTCTTGGAACCATATGTGTAAGAAATTAGGATAAAAAAAGCTCTGCAGTCTTTAGGAATTTTTTTTATATAAACCCCGAAATAAAACAGTTGTGCATATATGATGCTGTGAGTAGAGTTGATTGTTTCTTTGCTGGGCCCCCCACCAAAACTGGGGCTTGCTCTTCCTGCTAGCAGGAGTGGTCCTGCCTGATGGATTTATTAGTACAGCTTTATCAGTCAAAGAATAGCTATAAAACATGGAGCTGGAGCTGTAGGGACTGCCACAGAGGTTGTGTTGATTTAATGTACAGGTGTTGACCCAGGGCAGGGAGTGCCTCAGGGAGCTCCTGCTCTGAGTCAATGGTGTTAAACAGATTGGAAGCTGGTGGAAGCCCAAGGAAAATGAAGTTTAGTCTGAGGAAATTAATATAAACACCCATTCCTTACAGTGTGCAAGTAGGTGTCCAGCCCGGGTGGCTCCAGGAGGGCAGCTGGGAGCACACAGCAGCTCATCCAGACTTTTGACTTTTTACCAAAAAACTGTTGCTGTGGGGTCCAGTGGAGCCCAGCTGGAGAAGAAGGGGAGCCCTGATCTTTTGGCTGGAAAGGGAGCTGGATAAAGACCAGTGTTGTTGCTTCACAACATATATTTTGCTTTGGTTTTTTGCTTTTTAAAATTTTTTCCCCCAAACTATTCCCCCCAGCCCTCTCTGTTTTGCTCTGGAGCTGGGGTTTGGGTTACCCTGCTGACAGCTGAAGCTTTAAACCCACACAGAGAGGGCTGCAGCCACCGCAGGAGAGAGAAGCTGGAGCAATTGCTACTGCCTGGATTTTTTTTCCTTCTTTTTTTTTTTTAATTTCTTTTTTTCTTGTCTCTTCACCCTGAACAGATCATGCAATAGTCAGCTGAAGGAAGCTTGCCAGGGAAAAGCAAAAACAAATGGTGTTCATTGTTTTGACTTGCTCTTCTCATTGGAAAAGGGCCATGGGCCCATCCTTCCAGATTTATTTTTTTTTATATGTTTTTGCCTCTATAAACAGAAGCTCTTATTTGTTCAGTAAAAACAGCTCTGCTTCAAGAACTTTATGGCCCCCCTCCTCCTACAAGCAGCACTTAAGAAATGCAGCAGACCATACTAAAAATATCTCGGAACTGGGATTTTTAGGAGGGCAGCAAGTGACACACTGGTGGCATCAATGCTGATCAGGTGGGGTAAAAAACTCAAAACCTCAAGCTAGTGAGATCTCTACTATCCTCCCGCTTGATTTCACTAATCCTGCCCTAGCAGGGGAGGAGGGTGCATACATCCATCCTGAAAACAAGTGCAGGGGCAGGCTCTGGTTAAAGGTAACCCACCATGGGTGGGCTGGAGGCTGCGCCGCCTCCTCCCCGCAGCACCACGAGCAGCAGGACGAGCCTGAGTACTGCACAGGGGCAGCTCTGCAGAGCTCCACATCTCCTACACAATAATGAAGTCCAGGCTGAAGTTTGCAGGCTGAGAAATTGCATTTTGAATGCAATTTTGAATGCATTTGAATGCAAATGCATTTTGAATGCAATTTCTGGGACTAAGCCTGCCACCTGGGAAGGAGCATCCATGGGGCAGATTTGGGGTTTGTGATCATCCCACTGCCGTACCAAGATGGCAGGGCAGATTTCATCACTGACACAGAAAAAATAGAAAACAGTCGGAAAATAACCATGACAAGGAGACAGAGCAAGTTTTAGCTCGGTTCACGTGGCTGCCTCACACAAGTCATACTACCCCAGGCACAGAAAGGGGGAGCAGGAAGGAAAGCCGAGGGAAAGGAAGGGCAGGAATGCTTTAAACCAGCTTTGCCACCAAAAGCAGCAAACACTGAATGCAGTTCTGCTTCAGTTAATTTGTGAGGGTCCAAGCAGTTCAAAAACAAATCCACCCCTTTGCACTCTGAAAGGAGAGGCACAGGCAGTGCCCCCTGCCACCCTTTCCCTTGCACTCTTGCAGATTACCTTTGTGCTGTGGCATTTCCCACAACACTGGGTTAGGGCTGAGAGTCTGGGCAATTCAGGCAGTTGTAGAGAGCCAAGATTTGACTCATTGCTAAGGGCTGGTTTGGGCAGGGAGAGTGGAAAAAAGCATAGAAAATGCTTGGGGACTGGACTGCAAGTGCCCTCCTTCCCCTGCACAGGAAGACCACTCAGCTGTAGAGCAGACTGGTCTGCAGAGTAGGCAGGGAGCAATGTGGGACCAAATAAGCAAAGGAAGGGTGCCACAGGCCAGGCTACTGAGCCAGTGCACAAAAAGAAGGGAATAGGGTTGATGCTGTCAGTGCTGCCTGTGCTGCTGTGCCAGGCAGTGCAGAGCAGCCCCCCAAACCCAGCTTCTCCACAAGGTTACATCTTTAAAAAAAGTAAGGAAGCACTGCTAAGGTTTTGCGTTACTGGGTGAGCAGATCAGCCTTTACCCTTGCAAGAGTAGTGCCAAGCACAGTCATGGGAGTGGTGTATTTCAGTCAGCAGCAGTTTATTTGTGTCTGTAAATACATGCAGTCTGACCACAGCTAGCATTCCTGAATGAAAGCTCCAGCAGAAGGCATCAACGGGTCAAATGTGATGGAAAAATGTCAGTGCTTGCCTAGCCGAGTTGGAATCCGGATGCCCTTGCAACATCTTCTCCTGTTTCCCCAGCCACAGCTGATGGCTGCTGCTGCTGCAGGGTTGCTGAGGCTGGGGCTCACCAGTGCCTTTTCCCTGTGCTGCTGGTCTGGGGGAGGAGACAGCATCATTCCTTGGGAAAAGTCAAGGCCAATGGCAGCATTATTTGTTTTGTTAATTGTGGAGATGCAGTGAAACCGTTCTCTGTTACACAAGCCTGAGTGAGGCATGTCTGCCTGCATCCTCATTGCCTTTTACAGTGGACTAAGAAGGTGCTCAGCAGCTGAAGGCAAAGCCCAGGCTCTGGAAGATGAATGCTCCACACTCTTGAACTTATTTAACCTTGCAGTTCTCCAGCCAAGTGGAAAGCCAAGGAGCTAGAGTGTTGAGAAAAGGATCACCAAGCTGCCTGCAGGAAATGCCACAGTGAGGTAACTCACTGCATCTGCAGCCCAGCACCATATCCCAGCACCATCTCCATACCTGAACACACAAAGTGGAATTGCCTGCTGTTCTCCTCTCCACTGCCAGCCTGCAAAAGTCAAAACTATACAGCAGAGACAGGAGTTTTTTTCATCCTGTCCCTTTATGCATGCCCACTAGTTTACGCTGATGTCTACTGGATGCAGCCTATCAGAAACTTCTTCCATTCAGCTGCCACAACCCAGGATCACCCAGTCTGTGTGGGGGCAAAGGTTTCCACCATAGGTTTGCAGGTCCTTGTCATGCATATGGAGGATATGGAGACTTTATTTCCTCAATTACTTTATTGCATTTTAATACACGTCACCACTATCAAGGTGGTGATAATCATGATGATTATACGAAACAAGTATATCGTTGCTATGAATAACTTCTGTAAGGCTGTCGTGGTTTAACCCCAGCTGACAACTCAGCCCCACACAGCCACTCTCACTCTGCCCCAGTGGGATAGGGGAGAGAATTGGAAGAGTAAAAAAGTGAGAAAATGTGAGTTGATATAAGAGCAGTTCAATGAGTAAAGCCACAGCTGCACACAAGCAAAGCAAAACAAGGAATTCATTCCTTCAGAGTCTGGCTGGCAGGTGTTCAGCCAGCCCCAGGAAAATGGAGCTCCTTCACATCTAACGTGACTTATGCAGAAAAACACCAGGACTGTGAATATACCTCCCTTCCTTCCATTCCTCCCTTCCTCCTTCTTCACGCAGTTCCATGTGCTGAGCATTATGCCATACACTCTGGGATATCCCTGTGGTCAGTGGGGCTCAGCTCTCCTGGCTGTGTCCTTCCTAGCTCCTTGTGCACCCTCAGCATCCTCGCTGGAGGGGTGGGGGCAGGAGCAGGAAAGGCCTTGAATTTGTGTGAGTTCTGCTCAGCTGCAACTAAAACATCTCTGTATTATCAACACTGTTTCCAGCACAAATCCAAATTGTGCTAGCTGCTCTGAAAAAAATTAACTCTATCCTAGCCAAAACTAGCTCAAGCAAATATATATTTCAACAGCAGCAGAAATTAATATTAGCAGTAATGAATATTAGTAGGAAGTCTATATTTCAATTTCAAAGGTCACCACAAAATTACCACTAGTAAAGCAGCAAAAATTCTTACCAGTATTTTTATTTAGGACAAGTGGAAATGGCTTCAAGTTGCACCAGGGGACGTTTAGATAGGATATTAGGAAAAATTTCTTCACTGAAAGGGTTGTCAAGCATTGGAACAGGATGCTCAGGGAAGTGAGGGACAACAAACCTGGAGGTGTTTAAAAGGCAAGTAGATGTAGCACTTTGGGACGTGGTTTAGTGGTGGACTTGTCAGTGCTGGGGTAACGGTGGGATCTGATGATCATAAGGGGTTTTCCAACCTAAATGTTTCTATGGTTTTAGGATTCTAATCTAAAACTTTCTTACTTGGAGTGAAGAGGACATGGTTAACTTTGGAGGTATTTGAACAACAGACAGTGTGCTCAGAAAGGCAGCAACACTCCTTTTGTGCATTCAGTTCCTAGGGTTATTGGATGGCAGCACAGACTAAAAATATATACTCAATGATTCTGTGATTATATGTATGCCTGTATATGCACGTGTGCATATATGTGTGTGTGTGTGTATATGTGCACATACACATATAAAATGTCATATAAATTGTTGCTGGTACCAAGTGCTTGTCAAACCCATCCCAGAAGTGGGGCCAGCTGACAATGGGAGAAGTCTCACTTGGACAATGTATTTGGTCTGACTGAGATAGAGTTCATTTTCCCTTAGCAGCTCTCACAGTGCTGTGCTTTGCAGTGGGAGCTGGAAAGGTGTTGATAACACACCAGTGCTTTGGCTTCTGCTGAGCAAACCTGTCCCTCTAACATCTCCCCCCACCAAGGGGCTGGGAGTGGGCAAGATTCTGGGAGGGGACACAGCCAGGCCAGCTGATTCAAATTAACCAAAGGGATATTCCATACTGTGTGATGTCAGCTCAGATATAAAAGCTAAGGGAGGGAGGAGGAACAGGGAGGCATTTGTTACTCTACAGTGTTTGCCTTCTGGAGCAGCCACTGCATGTGCTGAAGCCCTGCTTCCCAGGGAGTGCCTGAACATCGCTTGCTGATGGGAAGTAGAGATTGGGTTTTTCCTTTTGCAAACTTGCAATTGTCTTTTCTATGCTTTAGTAAACTGCCTTATCTCAACCTACGAGTTGTTTTCCATCTTATTTTCTCCTGTGTTCTGCTGGGAAGAGGAGCAATAGAGCGGCTCAGTGGGCACCTGGCCAAAGTCAACACACTACAGTCCTTTCTGGTGCCCAGACGTGGGGTGAGATAAAGGCAGTTATATATAACTATATATCTATATCTATATTGCATGCTGTAATAAAAAGTAAATCACAGTTATAGAGTAGCAAGCTCTTGTGCAGGATACGGAGTGTGTCAGCTGCACTGCTTATCTCTTTATTTTGCTGAGTCTGGGAACATGTTAACAAAAACAATGGCTCTGTGCTTTGCTCTTACACTGATGGCCTTGTTGTGTGTGGGGAGCTATCTTCTGGGGATGGTAATTGACGTGAATGCTTTTATAATGCAGGCTCCTGTGCTCTTTGCTCATCCTTACGTAAGCCGTTTAATACTCTTAATAATTTTAGCTAATACTGCTGGCATGCTATGGAGTTCATGGAATCTGGCATCATCCTGGGGGAGGAGAAAACAAACTTTAGATGAGGAAATATTGAAAGATGCCCTGAGGCCTCCAGTGCCTGGGTGGCAAGGTGCATGGAAGGATTTAGGCAGGTTCCTAGGGCGGTTATCACCTCCCATTGCCTGGGACTTTACACCTGAACAGGTAATCAACCCTGACAAACTGACCCACCAGCTGATGGAAGGGTGCCTTGCCCACCCCACTGAACACCAGCAGCTTCTTGCCCTGTACTGGGGCCTGGCCTGTGCCTACCGAGCCACTGTTCAGTACTCTCAGAGGACTGTAGTTGAGGCAGGAACCCAAACTGCATTTGAGGACACTATGCCTGAGTCAGGCACTCAAACCACAGCAGCTACAGTAATAGCCCCAGAAGTGAAAGCAAAAAAATGGACAAGGCAAGATACACACCCTTACCATCGATTAGTAAGGGAGGAAGAAGAAGAGGAAAAAGAAGAAGGGGAAGTAACAGCAGGAAAGGAGGGGTTAGACCAAGAGGCAGGTCCTTCAACAAAGAAATCAAAAGGAGTGAGGCAAATCAAGCAGGAAACCGAAGTTACTCGGTCCCTGACCTCATCAGAACTTCGAGACCTGCGAAAAGATTACAGCCGGCAGCCAGGTGAGCCTATTTCTGCCTGGCTGCTTCGATGCTGGGATAACGGGGCCAGCAGACAGCAGCTGGAAGGGCATGAAGCCCAACAGCTGGGATCCCTTGCTAAAGATCGGGAAATTGAAAGAGGGATTGGAAAAGAAGGAGCAATTTGCAGCCTCTGGAGACGGCTCCTCTCAAGTGTGAGGGCAAGATACCCATTTAAGGAAGACCTTGTGAACTCCCCAGGGAAGTGGACCACTGCAGACGAAGGTATCCAGTACTTGAGAGAATTAGCAGTGCTGGAAATCATCTATAGTGATCTAAAAAGTGACAGGGTCCTTGAAGATCCAGAGGATGCCCCTTGCACGATGGCCATGTGGAGGAAGGTGGTTCAAAGCGCCCCTGCATCATATTCCAGCAGCCTGGTATCACTGTACCACCCACAAATGGATACACCAACCGTAGAGATGGCATCCTCCTGGCTCCGGAATGTAGAAGAGACTCTGGGCACTTCCTCATCCCTACAAGCCAGCAGCCCAGCTTTTAGGGGCAGCCCAAGAGATCGGTCCTCTCCTTCCCCGGTCAGAGGCAAGGGCAGCCCCAAGCGCAGGCCCCGGGGCGAGCTCTGGTTCTTCCTGCGGGACCAAGGTGAGGACATGAGGAAGTGGGTCGGTGAGCCCACCTTCAAGCTGGAAGCCCGTGTCCGTGAACTGAGAGGGAAGAAAGCTGTTAAAGGGTCACCCAAGAAAACTGCCACAGAGAGACAAGAAGGCAATCAACGATTTCCCAGACATAAAAGAGCTAAAATCACTCCTTTTCACCCTGATGAGGGGACTTCTGATATGGCATCGCAAAGGTCAGATAGTGAATACTCTGACCAGGAACAGGAATAGAGGGTCCCTGCCTCTGGCCAGGAAGAGGAAAGGGATGACCAGGCATACTGGACTGTGTGGGTCTGATGGCCTGGCACATCAGATCCACAGAAGTGCAAAGCTTTACACATTGTACATTGATGCCATCAATGCACAGGAGTGCAGAATCCATCTGGATCTTTGGGGTGACATGGGATGCCAGGAGTTTTCTGTGTTAGAGGCCAAGGGGAGCTTAACAGGGAACAAGTGGGAAAAGCACCCCACTGTGACTAACTCAGAAGGCCCTTTGTATTCTTGGCATGGACTAGATACTTCAAGGATCCAAAAGGGTATTGGTGGGCTTTTAGTGTAGCTACAGTGAATACAGAGAAGATCAAACAGTAATCCACCCTGCCTGGCTTTTCATTGTAGAATTGCTGCAGGTTGAATGAAAACCAGCAAGTACCAATTGCCACCAGGACTGTGCACCAGCAGCAGTATCTCACCAACAAAGACTAACCTCCATCCATGAACCCTCCATCCATTAGTCCTTGGAAAGCCCAGGAGTCATCAGCAGGACCTGTTCACCCTTTAACAGCCAGATATGGCCACTGTGAAAATCTGATGGGGAATGGAGGCTGACAGTGGGGGCATGAATGAAGTTGCACCACCTGTGAGTGCTGCTGTACCAGACATGCTGGAAATTCAATAAGAGCTGGAGTCAAAGGCAGCCAAGTGGTGCCACACAGGTTATACACAAATGTGAAATGTGCTGCAATCAAGTGAGCCACACAAGTGGAAGAGAGGGCAGTGGCTGGGTTCCAGTATGGTGAGCCCTGGCAAATGGACTGTATTGGGCCATTTCCATGAACACATCAAGGCAAGAGTTACATCCTTACCATGTTATAAACAACAACTGGCAGGCTGGAAACATCCCCTGTAAAACATTGCCACTGCTTGAGAGAACTTGAGATCCCAGGTCTTAAGGGAGAGATTTTGTGGCAACATGGTACTACAGAGAGAATTGAATCAGACAATGGGGCTCGCTTTAAAAATAACCTCATAAACTCTTGGGCAAATAAACATGGCATTGAGTGGATATATCACATCCCTTATTTCCCACAGGCCTCCAGGAAGACTGAAAGGTATAGGGAACTGCTGGAAACTATGAAAAGAGTGTAAGGTAATGGGCATGGAAGAACTGGGTTGCAAATTTAGCAGAAGCCACTTGGCTGGTCAACACCAGGGGATCTGGTAACCGCCCTGGTCCTGCTAAACCCATACACATTCTGGGAAGAGATAAGGTCCTTGCACACATAGGGAAGTGGGGAAGTCAGTGTGGATTTCTCCTCCCGTGGGAAAAGGCAAGCCCATTCATGGGATTGTCTTTGCCCAAGGACCTGGGTGTACTTGGTTGGTGATGAAGAAAGATGGGGACACCCAGTGTGTACCTCAAGGAGATTTAACCTTGGGAGAAAAATAATCTGTTTAGTGAGTTGTATATTGCAGGGAGCAGCAGAAATTGCATGAACTGATGAAGAATCAATTTTGTGAGAAGCAAGGAGAATGCAACGACAACCTGAGCCAGGCTGGTGTCAGTGCCTAACAATCAAGTGTGCTACTTCTCCTGTCCTGACCACTCATCCTGATGGAAGGGAGCCCAAGTCATGGATCTGGAGGGATGGAGGAAGCCTATTAAATGGGGAAATAATATCTGTTTTTGAAAGGACACCGGATAGTGGTTAATGAAAATGTATGTATGGTATAGAGATGGTTTAAGGATGTTGTTTCAGTTGTAGGTGTGGGCAAGAAGGCATTCCATTGATGAGAAATAAATACAATGGAACACTTGGAAGATATATAAATTATGTGGGATCTGAGTAGGACACAGATGGTATGGAATAAGGGGTGGACGGTGTATGGAATAAGGGATCTGACTGAGATAGAGTTCTTTTTCCCTTAGCAGCTCTCACAGTGCTGTGCTTTGCACAGGTGTTGATAACACACCAGTGCTTTGGCTTCTGCTGAGCAAACCTGCCCCTCTAACATCTCCCCCCACCAAGGGGCTGGGAGTGGGCAAGATTCTGGGAGGGGACACAGCCAGGCCAGCTGACCCAAATTAACCAAAGGGATATTCCATACCATATGATGTCAGCTCAGATGTAAAGGCTGAGGGAGGGAGGAGGAACAGGGAGGCATTTGTTACTCTACAATGTTTGCCTTCTGGAGCAGCCACTGCATGTGCTGAAGCCCTGCTTCCCACGGAGTGCCTGAACATCGCTTGCTGATGGGAAGTAGAGATTGGCTTTTTCCTTTTGCAAACTTGCAATTGTCTTTTCTATGCTTTAGTAAACTGCCTTATCTCAACCTACGAGTTGTTTTCCATCTTATTCTCTCCTGTGTTCTGCTGGGAAGAGGAGCAATAGAGTGGCTCAGTGGGCACCTGGTGCCTGGCCAAGGTCAACCCACTCTGCATCATGGAACCTGGAGTCAGTCTGGCATCCCCAGTGAGGGTCTGCTCTGCCAAGGAAATACCACAGGGAACAAGGATTTCTACACATTGAGATGCGTCAGAGGAAGAGGCTCCATTTGAGTAAAAAATAAATCCTTTATATACCAGAGAGACATAATCAGGCATAGGACACCAGCACTTGGAGCAGCCAACAGGTGCTGCTGACTTCTATTTTCATCTGGCACAGTCAATAAATGATGATGTAAATGGAGCAGAACACAAGCTTGTATTGATTCTGGAAACCTCATGGACCTGTTATTACGCAATTAATTACTCTGCCTTGATTACCTACAGGATAATGGTTGTGTTGAAAGTTCAATGTCAGAACTTGAGATGGGAATGCCTAAGAAGCAAAATGTGCTCTGGTACAAGTGTCTATCCTCTGTGGTGGTAATCTCTTAGTGCCATAAAAACAGAACCATACAGAGGTTAAAAAGTTGGCCACCATCTTCACCCAGGGTCATTGTCATGTTTGTAGAATGAATTAGAAAAACATGGATTAGAAAAAAAAATCAGTTTTATTATAATCAGAGTGCCCAAAAGAGGTTATGATCTATACAGCCAATTATGTTGCTTGGATCATACATGTCCCATTTGTCACTAGTACTAAGCCAGCTCTGTAGACAGCAGCATGTAGAATTAGACCGGTGAGATTACAGTATCTTTGACAATTCATGTTATTAACAGTCCATGTAAAATACCAGAGTCCATTAAAACCTCCTTTGTTTGTAATTGCTGATTCATTATTTCAGGTCCATGAGGTTTCCAGAACCAATACAAGCTTGTGCTCTGTCCCATTTACACTGTAACCATGCTTGGGTGTGATTATAACACAAAGTGCAATTACAGTTTCTTGTCTTCCTCACCCAAATTGAGTCTGTGTCCTGGGGCATTATAATGGACTATGGGGCCTCAAGATATGACTGCGCTTTAAAGGTTGTTGATAATTTGGAGTACTGAGGAATAAGTATGTCAAATTAGGTTGACAACAAGATGCTTCAGAGACAGGTTCTCCTGAACCTGCATCTAATGATCAAGGGTGGTGTAAGCAATACTAACGATACAATTTGTTGCCTGCTCGAGAAATTATATTCATAAATTGTACAATGTGATCACTGTTCCATCCTTGAAATAAGGAACAAGCAATAATGTAATGACAAAGTATAGTGTGCATAGTAACAGTTATAAAAAAGACAAATGCTCATGATGATGTTTCACTTCATGCCAATTTGCCAAATCAGTATGATGTCTAGAGGAGTGGAGGAAGCCCATGGACTCTGAGAGTAATACCTGTCTATTAAAGGACAGGGGACAGTACTTAATGAGAATGTATAAATTTCTGTGTTGGTTAAAAAGGTGGTTTAACTGTGTAGTTTGAGTTGCAAGCATTGGTAAGAAGAGCAGTAATGAGGCTAATGAGAGTAATGAGAACTAAATACAATTGAATCATATACTATGGGAAGTGCTGGGCCCCACAATTTGAGAATGATGTTAAGGTCCTTGAATGCATCCAGAAGACTCCAGGTTTATCTAGTTTAGAGAAAATGAGGCTGAGGCAAGATCTCATTATGCTCTGCAGCTTCCTGAGGAGAGGAGGTGGCTCTTCCTTGCCTGCAGTGTGCTAGTGCCACCCCCATCATGCTATCCCACAGTCTTAGGACCGTGGCATCTCCTTTAGCCAGCCTACTGTGAGTCCTGTTCCTTGCAGGAGATCCCATAAGTGTCTCCATTCCAGATCGTGTTCCTGTTTGCAGGGGGCCACTTTGTGTCAGATCGAGTAATTTCAGTATTTCAATTATTTTGTCCCTTTTTCTTATGACTCTGAGCTCCCTTAAACCTCTAGATGACCCTGACCTGACCTTCCCTTTGGGAGTGCTTCCCTGTCCTTGTTGCCTCCCCATAAGGACTGTCAATTTTCCAGCCCGTCCAGGCCACTATGGTGTTTCAGTGCCACATTTCATGCCATAACATTAAGGTCAGGGCCTCCAGCCCTCTGGAGGCTGTATTTTGCAAAAATTTTAGTTTCCCTTCTGCTGTTGCTGGCACAACCATCATGTTGCAGGGTGTTGCTTCTGTCCCTTAAGGACATCCTGAGCAGTCAGTCTCATTGTCCAGCCAGAGAATCCATCAAGAGTACTAGAGGGAGGGGGAGGGAGACAGCCCCACCTCTCAGCACTTTTCTAGAAGCATTTATTATGGATGTTAACAGGGAGAAGATTTTCACTCTGGCCTCTGCATCAGTGTTTAGGAGAAATATTTTTCCTGTCAGGAATATCTGTCCAGCCTCAGCATGATGAAGATCACTGTTCCAGCCCCCAGCAGGTATCACCCATCCCACCCAGTCCTCAGGAGGCTTTTTGCTGTCCTGCATGGACAACTTGCCTTAGTTGCTCAGCATAAAAATTCCTAGAAGTCATTGCAACTGTGGGTGGCAGGGGAGAGAGCCTTCCTCTCCAGCAGGAGCCAGGAGGGAAGTTTTAATGTCAGGGTTCAAGGAGGCTGTGTTATCCAGACAAAGCTTGGGCAACCAAGAGGGGCAGGGAGACACTGCCAGGGTCAAAGCCTCCTCCTCGTTTTCCATTTTCAACATGTGTCTTTTCAGTGATCCTGCTCTGAGACCAGGCATGTAGGCTCTTGCTGCAGGTGCCATACATCCACATGTCTGAGGGTGGCTTTTTACTAATTGGTTTGCAACAAAGCCATGAGATTCAAAGGCAACTGCTCACACTTCTGCATCCTTAGCTTGCTGCAAATCTTCCAGTTCCTGCCTAGCAGTGCTAAACAAAGCACCTACAGCTGACACCTCTGTGAGAAGCCCGATGAAGGGCCCGTTGCTATTCTCTATTTTGCATGTGAGTGTCCTGTCACCTCTGAAACTCAGTTTGCAGCCTTTCTAAATTCAACCAATTCTTAAACACCTTATCCCTGTCCCACGGAGGGGTTTTCCATAGGTATCTTGCCATTTTCACTGCTTTTCTGCTGCCTTCTCTTAAGCATCCATGACCTATTTATCACAGATCCACACTTCTGACATCAATTAATGTCACAACCCAGAAGGATTACTTGGCTTGTGAGTATGCAAAGATTGCAAAAGATTGTTTGTAGTATGCCTGACTCTGTCGTGCTCAAAGACACAAAGGATTTATTACCTATATTCTCTTACTCATTACAGTTTACTACTATCAAGGCAAGTATGGTTACAGTTGGCAAAACAAGTGTATCTACCCTACAAGTTACTATGAATTACTACTAGAAAACAAACAGAGATTTCCCCAGAAGCTTCCATCAATGCTAGCCTGGAGTCTGTGTTTCAATATTACACAGCCTGTGACATACTACCACCATCTCATGCCCAGTGACAGCCTTGCTCAGGCTTCCCCCTGTCCTCTGTCCTGGCCAGCCTCCACCTACAACTCTGCACTTTCACAGCCGGGCTGTGGCTCACATCAGCTTATGAGAAAATGCTCAGAAGGCCACATGGGACATGTAGGAACAGAGAACTGAGACTGAGGACAAAGCCAACCCAGACACACAGGCAGGGTCACCTCTCCCAGCATGAAAATGCCTGCCAAAGGAGTTGGAGGAAAAGATGAAGCTGGAGCAGGCACCAGGCTGAGTTTTAATTTCCTGCAGCATTCAAAGCTGTACTTGTCATTTTGTTACAGACTCACCAAGATCCACCAGCATGATTACAAATAAATAAACTAACAAGCAAACCAACCAACCAACCAACCAACCAACCAACCAACCAACCAACCAACCAACCAACCAACCAACCAATCAACCAACCAACCAACCAACCATCCAGCGTGTCTAGCCCACAGTCCAATCACAAGCCTTCCAAAACAGACCATTCCCTGAGACAGTGACCTCCAAAAGTCAGATCTGAAAACAAACTTCCTCTGGGTGTTTCACATTCCTTTGGTGCTATTCTCTAAATGCAATGTTTGTGTCTCTTACTAAAAAAATCCACAGCAACAGGCTTTCCACATAAACTTAAAGGGAAGTGATTCACTTATTTTTCTGGAATTAAGTTTCAAATAAATTTTCATAGACTAGGCTATGGAAACTATAATATGACCTGTCAGTTAACCAATAATAAAGCAATTTTTATACTGTAGCATACAAATAGTACTTTTAAGGACGATGCTGGTTTAACTTGGCTGGTTTTAATTCAGCACTGGGTTTATCAAGATTTTGCAAGAATTTTAAGTCTGAGTAAAGCACTGTACTCATGCAGTTATACTGATTTAAGTGCCCTGGCTGGGCTCTCTTGACATAGCACTCTTAGGTTCTCTAGACACAGATACCCACAACCTCCGAGACACAGAGTGGACTTTACACACAAATATCAACAGCTACGTAATAATTCCTTAGTGGTTCCAGCTTGTGCTGGTCTCACAGTTCTCATGAACTGCTCCACAGAAATAGCAGCAAGTCATGCAGCTTTCTGCTGCAAGCATTGGCAACACTTGCTCAC